ACAATTCGTGATGCGACGAGAGGGGTAGGTGCAGGAGGGGGCTTCCCCCTCCCGCTGGTGGGGGTATAGGGGGACTCCCCCGTGAAATTTTGAAAATAGAGATGCCAAATCCTGCATTCTGGCTGTATTTTGGGTAAAAATTATAGGTCACTCTATGATTGTACCTATGACATTTTTCTATCAGAAAAATTCCACATTTATAATAATTTAGGGTATTTAGAATCACCTTTAAAGTTTACATTTTGATTACAAAAATAACAATGATGATGATAAAACATATGTTTGAAAATAAAATTAATTATCAGGTATATTGTGTGTAAATTATAATTTTTTTTGTTGCTCTGAGTGAGTGTTTGGTAAAATTTACAGTGGCCCTACAGGGCAAGTTTAAAGACATGTTTAGTAGCCTGACCTCAATCATTCAGTTGTCCCAGGCCAGCGGGCTACCATTAGTGTTGAACCCTGCCACATGCATCTATAAGCTTTTTCAAATACTAAACAGAGTTTATTCTAAACTGATTTTTTTTCTTAGCCATGGTGCTCAGATGAGTGATATTGCCCCTAAGCCTCTTGTCCTTATATTTAAAATATGTAGTTTTGCAAAAATCTTCAAACAAAGACTAATGGAAGTGTATCATTTAATATTCAGAATAAAAAATGATCTAATAAGTTAAAATAAGAATTCTCTCTGCTTAAAACCCATTAGTCATATGCACAATATTAGTCACACAAGTATTTTTGATCATGAAGTGCGTTATAGTAGTGTTAGGTTGTATTCAACAATGCAATAGTGTACGTGTCTTGCAGAAAATGTTGTCTTTTACTTTGGATAAATTTTAAATATAACATCTCTTTCATAATTCCAATTATATTAAATAAAAAACTCTGAAATTGAGAGGCTAATTGCAGAAGTGAAATTTGTTTTGATTTTTGACATTTACAAAGCTATATATTTCAGAAAGTAACACCTGTCCCAATAAACATAAATCTTTAACAAAAGAAATTCTCTTTGTGTGCTGTTTTAGAAAATAACTTATTTATTAATAATCATTTAATTTTATTACCTGTATAAATATCAAAGTGAACATTACATGTATCCGTTAAGTTATTTAGTTCTCTGAATTCATATTGATTTTATCTGTATTGTAGGTGCCAAAACACAAACCTGATGCAAGAAAACCTAGTCTTACCAAAGATGTGCCAACCCCTGAGAATGAAGGTCAAATGAAAACTGCCAACACTTCTTCAGCTGCCAATACTTTGCTTACTGCCAAAGCCAGCAATGGTCAGAGTAGTGATGGGCGAAGTTTTAGTCTCATGAATTCTCTCCTAAATCTCTCACACAGTGCAGTAAGTTTCTGTGTAAATTTGTCATGAAATTCAGAGGAAAAAAATTAATTCCTTTGAAATTGTGTAGTTAAATATTGGAAGAGGGGGATATTTTCCTTAAGTAATCAATGTAAGCACTGCAATAAAACAAAGGCCTCTTCAACTTCCACACATTAAAATACATGCACATGGCATATGAATTCAAATCTTTAACAAATATTGGGAGGAAATGTAAAATTAAAAAGCAGGAATAACTATGCAAGTTCTAATTAACAAACCTGCATCCAAAGGGTCAAAAAGGTGAAAAAATGTTTTATCACTGAAATGTCATAGGAAAAGGAAATGGCAAATCAATTATAAATTATAAACTTCATTTCATTTTCTTATATTTACCTGGTTCAATCCATTAAAAGGCAATAATATTTCAAAAATTATATTGATACTTATTTTTTAGATAACATGATATACTTTAAAAGAGGATAAATATTTCATGAAATCATGATAACTCTCCCCCTGCCAATTAACCCCCCCCCCCCCCCCCCCTTTCAGAGAAATATGCACCGTAACTACAAGTTTACCATAAAGCCAAAACATCAGCACTGAAATAATTTTTTTTTTATTTTATTTTCTATCTGAAATATGATGTTCTTTGACTTTTCAAAATTTATTTCTTTAAAAATAATCATTTTGATAAATTAAATGCGGGGAAGTCTAGCTAAATAATTATTTCTTCAAAATGTCAGCTTGTTTTGCAACATTCCATTTAAAAGCTTTGATACACCGTAAGAATCCAAATTAAGAAACACAAACCGCATTTGGGTTGTTTGTGATGTTTTAAGGAATCATTTTAAATGTTAATTTAAATTTATTATTTCTATAAGCATGTATTTCTGTAAAGGTTATTGGTGTGGAAATTTTGATATTCTTGAGCATTATTTACATATACATGTATTTTCATTTATAATTAATTTTTTATCAGTTTGTTTCCATCAACATCATAATTTTCCTTTCAAGATTTGCATTTTTTATTCTGATATTACATTGTACTAGTATGCACATTTGGTAGACTAATCAAACATACTAGATACATAATTTTATTTCTAAGTTCTATAGATCCCCTTTTCAACTTAAAGGAGTTTTCCACATAAGTATAGTAGCGTGGTCCCTTTTTTGCCCTTATTTTACAGAATATACATGAGGATACAGTATTTTTTTTAGTTTCATTGTGTATAACAGAGTATTTCTAATTAAAATTTTGTACAATCATTATTAATAACTTGGAATATCAAGAAATATAAGCCAATTTTCAACACCTACTGAACACACAAAATCCGGAACATTTTCTTTCGAACAGAGTGCGGTTCCTCTATTACATACAAATGGGCGGAGACATTTAAATTAGGTATTATATATAAGGGAAGACAACGATGAGTTGTAGAGTGAGATAAGAAATAATAAACAATATACGATGGGGATAAATAATTTTCAATAAGCTTGAATTTTATTTTGCATCATTCGTATTCTTCTGAACTTGGGGTGGGTGGGAGTCTTTTTTTTTAGTTCTTAAGGTATTTTTTGTTGGAGTTCTGAAAATCCTCTAATCACATTATTTTTTTAAAATCTATCATTGTTGAATAAAATGTCAAGATATTTTAACCACTACGAGTATATTAATTTTCTTTTATTTGATAGTTTAAGAAGCACAAGCGATGGCATAATAATTAACGGCAAATACACACAGGGGGTGCTGAGAAAAAAAACCACACACACACAAGAAACCTGAATTTGATAAAGAAAAAGAGGAAACCCTTCTCCAAACTTGAAAAAAAGAAATTATTACGTCTTTGGTATTTTTTTTTTTTTGTTTCTTTTTCGCAAGAAATTGATTAAATGTGTACATCTACCCGTATATATATATTAATACATGTGCTGTTCGCAATGAACAGGAAAGTTGGGATTACTTGCATGAGAATTAAAATATGTCCCGGAAAATCACCAAAGTTTTACATTAGTGATATTCATCGAAGTCTATAGAGAACCTTTTTTGAGTCTTAACAAGAATAGATATGGGTTACCCCATATCCAAAGATATTCGACTTTTAGATTTAATATGCTTATCAGTGTTTATAATGACGTTAATAAAAAAACTGTCATGTCTAGTTACGGAACTGGTGTAAATTTCGTGAGGTCACCCAGTCTCCTAACAAACGGTATGTGTACACATAGGCCTACATGAACCTGTGTCCGCAAGACCAACATTAGCTCGATCTAAACACGTGCGATGGAGCTGTTAAACGCATCCGGCGAGCTCGGAGAAACACGTTTTTTTTGCCGAGAAGTTACGATAGCAGACAAAACTTTTCTTTTCTTAATTAGATCATATGAATATGAATTCTGATTAATAAAAATTATACAATCCCTGTTGAACTATATATAGTTTGTTCTAACATTTGCATCTGCAACAACTTGTGTTTAAAATGGCCGTGTTAGGAAAATCAAGACCAGATCGGAAAATTCTAAACTGAAAACCGTTTTTGTTTTGAAAATTACTGAAATATACTAATTAATGTATTTGTCGCAGAAATTACTTACATTATTCAAGTTCTATATAAAATGGTAGGCCTATGCTGAACTTCAACACGAACCCGAATGTCCGACCCAGTTCTCGTTTTGCTAGCACATTGTTTACAAAGTGTACACACGTGAGCAGAATCCAGCCAGGGATTGAAAATTCCGTCATTTAATAATATACACACACAGAATGATTAATTTTTTCTTAAAAGGAAATTGTATGATAATTAACAGACTATAAACATGTACTTAATACAATTGTTGATATAGTATTATCAATTCATCGGTGAAAAAATATGAATCGAAGAATGACCTAAATATTCTCTATTATCAAACATGTAAAAAAAAAAAAAAAAGGCTGAGGAGGGAGCGAGCGTAGGAATATTGATATTTTTTATTTGCATTTCGGGGGGAAAGTGATTTTCTAATAATATTTTGACGTTATTTTTGATTTCTTTAACGTATGAAATACACAACTTTACTCTTATCATGAACAATAATGTTGTATCTACTTAATCATGATAAAACTATTTTGGTCGGACCAATTTGTGTGAGCTGCCGCTAAAAACAGTAATATATCTTGCATTAATAGTATGAATTGATCGAATATATTAAAAAATAAAAGCTGGTGTCTGCATTTTTTCAAATATGAGCTACATGTGTCGCTACCTACAGAAAACACGCTTTCCGAATGTATTCACCTGTGGCGGAATGGAATCACATGACATATTATCTATTCTTAGCAGGTCAACAAGAGGTTAATCCTATGTAAATGTACTCACCAAACAGATTCAAAATCATGATATTTTTAAGTAGAAATCTTTAAGCGCAAGGTTGTTCAACAAAGATATTTACACACAATCTGTATAAATATAATATACACATTATATTTTAATCTCAACTTTGAACAAATCTGCGCTCGATGTTTACGAAAGCTGTGAAGTGGGTACCTGTCACAAATTTCTTTTGATATTCATGAAAATCAAAGGACCCCACCTTCAAAACACAGCTTGGCGTGTTGTTATTTGCAATTATATGATATTTTTAAATGTTGGCGCATATACTACAGATATACGAGAATAATATAATTTACTTTTTAAGTGTCTTAATGAAAGTTTAAGATTTGACGAGTAACCAGGGACCACAGATAATGGCTTATTGAGACTTCTTCTTTAGCAGATGTATTGAAATTTACATTAGCTTGTAGTCCTTTTGAACCAATGAAGCTTTAAAAATTTTGTTTAAAGTTAGCTTATTTTCAGAATTATCATTATATTAATCCTCTTCCTACCTAATTTACCTAAAAATGATATGAGATCTCTCGTAGTTTGCCTTGCTCCAGTTTTGATTAAAAATCTATTATAGATATATATGAATTTAACCCTTGAATGTATTATGCAAGTGAATTTTTTTTCTGGTATAGATTTGTGAGCAGAATTCTTAATACAGTAGAATTTTCCATGGTTCATGAGTATATAGGAGAAAGCATGTATAATTTATATGCATATATGTTCTTTGCTTTTGCTGTGTAGTTTCTAATCAAGAAATCCCAATGCAAGGGAATTAACAGTAATTTTCTATTATTCACTGTACTAAATTAAAATCTTTTTTTTTTTGGCCGGTTCCTTTTCTTCATTTCGCCTTGAGATTCTGTTTCAGAATTTGTGTTATGTAATTGCTTCCCCCCCCCCTCACTGTATGGCCTTTCCATTACCTATTTACTCAACATTTCTTTTCATTACCATTCATCTGTACGATGCCATAATAAATACATGTATCTCCAAACATCAGTATATTACGTTGAGGCTGAGATTTCATTTTCATCTATAAGTTTTTACATAGCGAGATCTAAGTAATGAAGACCTGAATGTGATGTAAAGTGAAATCTAAGTAATGAAGACCTGAATATGATGTAAAGTGAAATCTAAGTAATGAAGACCTGAATATGATGCAAAGTGAAATCTAAGTAATGAAGACCTGAATATGATGCAGAGTGAAATCTAAGTAATGAAGACCTTAGTATGATGCAAAGTGAAATCTAAGTAATGAAGAACTGAATATGATGCAATATTTCATTTTGTTGACAGGACAGTCGGGTAGCTGTTAAGGCTTGTGAGGGCCTGATGTTGTGTGCTAGTTTACCGGAGGAGACAGCTGCCACGTGTATCGTCCACGAAACAGCCTTCTGTACCGAGATGAGTCAGAGGCTCATAGAGGCATATCTCAAACTACCGTCTTTCATAAGTCCTGTGGATCTCGAGAATGTAGAGGCCAAATGGGGGTTAGTTATTTCTTATACTAAAGAAAAATGAAGGCTACAAAACATTTGATTGCAAAATATAGAAATACATTTTATAAGGTTTAAGAGTAGTAGATACATGTGATATTAGATTTGATGAAATTTCCTTCTATAGTTTATATTTTGAATAATTTAAGGTCAGTTTATGATTTTCTTAATTTAAAAAAAAATTTAGTTATTACTTTAATATCCCATTGCATCTCTTTTTAGACAAGAAAATCCCCTTTTCTTTAAAAAGAAATACAATGTAGAAATGAAAAGACATACTGCATGTTTTCATTACAGCTTAGATGTCATCACAGAAAGTGAGGATCATAAGACATTTCTAGGAAAGCGCCATCTAGTGAGTTTTCTCTCCTGGCTGGATTATTGTGATCAGCTGATTTCTGTCTCCAATCCAATGGTAGCCAAAAACCTGGCCAAGTCCATCAGAGAACTGTTTCTGAATGTTATCATGGAACCATCAGTGTTACAAACGTAAGGGACCTTGGAACGTGTAACAAATTATAGATACACTAGAACTGTTATGGAAATTAAACACGTGTATATGCCTTGGATTTTGATTCGGAATGGCAATTACAGATTTTAGTTTCAGCTAAGAATTTTTTTCCTGTGTCTTACATTATACTTTACTACTGATAAGCTAAGATTAATGCAAATGCCTTAAAGATATGGAAAATCGTATTTGTAAAGTTGTCATTTCCTCCTCTCTAAAACACATCTGCAATAAAAGCTATATTGGTGGACCCATGCTCAAAGATTTTGTGGGTCACACTTTCCAAGTAAAATTAGTTGCCCACTAACATTGGCTTCTGTGACTTAAAAAAATGATTCAACAGTATATATTCACAAGTTTATAAATTACATACAGTAAAAGTACCTGCATGCATTTCTTATATAAATATTCAACCAATTAATAAACTCATTTTCTTGAATTATCAGACGCTGAAACTGTAAGGAGATACAAGAGTAAATTATCAATCAATCATTGTGCATACATTATAATTGTAGGTCTGAATCAGGTGCAATACTAGCTACAGCGTACCTCAATAGGTGTCTACAAACTGTGTGTTCCCCAGAACTTCTGTCTGGTATGTACACATTTTGTCTTCTTAATCTTAGAAGTGCTTTAGAAAATATACTGTGCATGTACAAAAAATTATATTTGAAATTTAAAAAAACATATTATATCAAAAGAATTCATACGCGCTGCTGTATATATGTATATGTGAATCTGTATTAAAATTCAAGATGTCCTTGGTATAGGTATATACATATAGAAAAATAATCCAGAGTTTGGAAAAGATGATCACATTTTATTCCAAAGCGCTTTCGCCATTCGGCTCTTCAGTGGATTTTGAATAACAATAGCAACGTTGTTATTATGATGTCATAGTTAAAGGACAACTTTAAAATTTGGCGCAAAAAATGTCCATAGAAAGCACCAAAATAAATAGACTTGACACTGTAAATGATACATATTTACACAATAATAATCAATGATTATTAATTAATAAATTTTAAAAACAATATTAACAGTCATTGATTAAATCAGAACATTTATCTGTTTAGTTTAGGCTTAAATTTATCAATGAAATATTGTTCTTTGGCCCGCCGTAACTGTTCATTTTCCTCAGTAACTTTATAAAACGGAAAGATACTAAAATGTCCTTTACCACATTGTTCAAAATGTTCGCTGCACGGAGTTCATTTTGAACAATGCGGTAAAGGACGTTTTAGTATCTTTCCGTTTTATAAAGTTACTGAGGAAAATGAACAGTTACGGCGGGCCAAAGAACAATATTTCATTGATAAATTTAAGCCTAAACTAAACAGATTAATGTTCTGATTTAATCAATGACTGTTAATATTGTTTTTAAAATTTATTAATTATTAATCTTTGTTTATTATTGTGTAAATATGTATCATTTACAATGTCAAGTCAATTTATTTTGGCGCTTTCTACGGACATTTTTTGCGCCAAATTTTAAAGTTGTCCTTTAACTATGACATCATAATAACAACGTTGCTATTGTTATTCAAAATCCACTGAAGAGCCGAATGGCGAAAGCGCTTTGGAATAAAATGTGATCATCTTTTCCAAACTCTGGATTATTTTTCTATATGTGAATCTGTATATATGTTTATGTGTATTCCAATTTTAATATCAAATTATGTTATCAGTTTCTTCCAGAAATGTGAGTTTTTATTTTGGATTGGCTATTATAAAATAATGATACCTTATTATGACTTTTCAGAGTTTTGCTTCTTCATTCTGGGATCAGAGAGGTTACCAGAGCAGAAAGAGGAGACAACTCAACCTGGCATCAGAGACCGACTCATTGAGCACTGTAATCATTTATCTGAAGAAGTAAGGAAAATCAATCTGACAATTATTTCTCTTGTCACAATAGCTTCATACACATTATAATGGTTTTATGTAGGTCTTACATAAAAGTAACGGAAATGCATTGAATCTCAGTCACAATATTGAATTTATGTCAAATTGTGTTATTTGTTCTATTTCAGCTGACTTTGATTACTCTGAAGTTGTTTGACACCCTCCTACAAAAGGATGATGAACACATCATACATAACTTAGTACTACGCAATCTGTTAGGTAGGAACTACTACAAAACTGACAGCAATGATAGGAATAACCAGCAGGACAAGGGAGAAAACTCCCCAACTACAAACGGAATCTCTGAGAATAGTGAAGGTAAACAGGAGTTACGTCCTTTCTCTGGTTCCTACTTTATATGATAATCTCTTAATAACCATATAGTAACTGCTGTCTGAGTGGGCATTATGCAGTCAAATATCAAGTTTCTGATTAATTGTGAATTTATGTTCAAGAAGTAAAATAAATTTACCTGTACTTTTTAATAATAAAGCTGTTCACTTTAAGCCACTTTAATTTTTGGGATGGTGGGAGTATGGGGCCAGATGTTTGAATTTGCTGGGAACATGAATTCTTATGTGAATCTAATCATTGCTACAGTTATCATTTTGATAGATTTGATGTTCTGATTTTGAAGCAAAAAAGCAAAAAAAAAAACATGTACATATGAATAACCAATGCAAGCCTCGGATAAGTGTACTGCATCCCTTCTGTTTGATTGAAGTTAATTACATAGAGGATTATTAACACAATATAAATTTTTATAGAGGACACATCCACTGAAGCTTCAGCTAAACCAAGCCTTAACCGTTCATCAAGTCGCACAGAAGTTCACAAGATTGTCAACTGGTAGGTAGATAATCAAGTTCTGTCTTTTATTATGAACAACTTATTTTAAAAACAACAAAAAACGATAGTAAATCCTTTGATTTTTTTTTTTTAGTTTCCTGTCCTTGCTGCCAGAGCAGTTAAAATCCAGTTATCAAACAGCAGACAGTGGATATGATATGTATTTAAGAGATGCTCACAAACAGGTACATGATTTACCATACATGTTAAAGGAACTTATAACTGGAGAATAGGCTCTTTGACTTCTTGAAATAAATGTACATGTATATCTTTAGTTTTGAATCATTATGTTAAGAAAAATAATACACCATAGTTTTCAACAATTAAAAGAAGAAAAGTGCTGTTAAAGTTAAATTTTATGAAATGATATGATTTATTTTTCAGCTCTACTGATTAAATATATCATTTACAAAAGGTTATGCATAAATTGTTCAACATCCTGTTTCCCTGTATTTGTGTTTGTCCATCTGTTTTTTTTCTGCCACTTTGTTTGTCTGATTGTATTTTTTTTTTCAAAATTCTGCTTTATTCACAGTTTTCACTGGATTTTATGAAACTTGGTAAACAGATAGACAAGAAACATTTGAGTAACCCTTTAAAAAAGTTTTTGACTTCGATGGACACTGCTCAGATTGTTTGTAAAAAAAAAAAAATTCCAAAAATATTTTAAAAATTAATCATATTATTACTATAGTCTTGTCTAATTTAAAAAAAAAACTTAGGAGCACAAGTAGAATAAATCAAGGTCTTAATAAGATATTGTTAACCTACCCCACATGCAAAGAGGATTGCAATTTTCTGATGTGATTTTCATAGTGTTTAATTTTTTTAGTTTCATCATGTGTGTGAGATGACTGATCCCTGGTCTTGGCCCAGAGAACCAGTTGTCATCAGGAGATTTGTCATGGAGGAGTTTTATGAAGGAGCTTTTCTGAGAATGTTACTAGATAAAATGTCCCACTTGATGGATCAGGTAAAAATGTGTAAACCTTTCTTACCGTTAAATTTTTTTGTTTCCAAAAGTATGTTGTCATAAATTGTAGAGGTTTAAGCTTTTCTACTTGTAAATATTTTTAAGAATTCTTTAAGGTTTTTAAAAGCTTATAAAATACATGGTAAAAATGATTGAAAAATTAAAATGTTTATTTTCCTCTTCTCAGTTTAAAGCATTTTGTGTGTTGTATGATTTTATAGCTGACCTATAGAGTTAAACATTATTTTAAATCAATTTATCTGATACACAATTCAGAGTTATCCAGTTAACCTACAGTTGACCTCTGTTATCTCGAGGTTGGCTCTCCTGCCACACCCTAATCTCAGTGAGTTCCTGTTGGATCCCTTTCTTCCCATCAGGGATGGTGTCAAAACTCTCTTTTCTGTCTTCCAGAAGGTAAATGTAACCAGATTATAATTCTCAGATGGAAAGTAAATTAACCTTGTGATTGACTCATTAATTGGGGGGGGGGGGGGGTCCAATCCCAGAGTAAACAACATAACATGTTCACATTGTATCTTCTTATGCTGAAATAAAAAATACCCTTCTCTCTTTAATGCAATATATGTACTAGTTAAAATATTTGATATCAGGGTTTTTAATTTTTGTGAATCACAAAAGAACATTAATTTTTGCAAAATTTCACAAGAATCTGTTGTTGAAAAATTCATTCTTGCTTATATTTTCATATTGCTAATATATATACATGTATAACAGTTAATGACATTACAAGAATTTTGGAAAATTTTTCACTAAATACTAAATTTCTATCACACCAAATCAAGGTGTGCAATACGTGTATTTCATTGTGTACAGTATACATTCAATTGAGATTAATCTTATTTATTGACTGTCACATACAATGAGTATAATGTGCATTCCTTATATTTGATGTATAATTTAAAGCTGACATGAACTCTTAAAAAGGCATCAGTTTTCATCTTTGTACGACTTACTACATTCCTGTACGCCCTTGTCCGCCATATTTCTTCGATTCCGCCATATTTAATCGAAGATTTTTGGCCACCTGTACCTGCTATATATAGCCTTGTAGAATTGTTTCACTTGAGTGATTTTCTAGCCTGGCTGTCGACATGTACACATCTCCGATAGCATAGTTTTTAGAAGTCCATAAACTGAATAAACTGACCAAATACATGTTTGAAAAGTAAGAATTCGACAAAAAAAAAAAAATAGAACTATTCCGAGAATTAAATTATTTTTGAATGCATTTCCTGCAATATAGAAAATACATTCATGTACAGCAAAAATCCATGAAGCTCGAGAAAACGCGTCAAACGCAGTGCTAAAACATTTACCTGAATATACTGCTATCGTTACAGGGATGTGCACATGTCGAAAGAATTATCCTATTTTACTTTTATTGAAAAATGCATCCCAGAAGTCATGTAATCCATTACTAACTCAACAGTAAAAGATGCTTGGACACACGTGGCCCATGCCGATCATTTTATTTCGTCAGGGAAAATATCAAAGGTTGAAAGCTCAGTGGGGTTGATTGAAAAAAATGCAAGTAATTTTTTTCAAAACTAAACATTACTCTTGTCTGTAAATGTTGCAAACAGAATTTATGGTTACATGGATTAAATTCATTAAATTTATAATAAAGCATGCATTATTACGAATCATTCACCTTTTGAAGATATTTTCCTGTGATAGGAGGGGGGGTGTAATAAAACATGCATATTAACACTCTCATAAAAATAATTTAAGAAAAACGTCGGAAACAGATTGCATTTCTTCATGATCAATTTTTATCAAATAAATACTGTGTATTGGCTTTATTAGACCTCATATAATTTGATTTAAAGTTATTTATAATTTTATGCACAGTGAATGAAAACATACCCCACGCACACCCAAAAGTCGAAGTGCTGAAATTCGAAATTCCCAGAAGAAAATTAAGGAATCGTAATTTCCTTGTTATATGCACATCTATGAACATTGTGTCCTAAATATCTGCAAAGTTTGACGAAATTGTGTGTAGCGGTTTATGAGGAATTTCGCTGACAAACTGCTCATCTTTATATTCAAGATATGGCCAAAATCTATATGTAAAAGTGCGGAAATTCCCGAAAAAATAAAGATTTCGGAATTTCCTGGTGATGTGCAAATCCAGACACATTGACTCCTATAAATATCTCGAAAGTTCGACAAAACTCTGTGCATTAGTTTATAAGAAGTTGCGCTGACCAATTAAAAAAAAGGGCTGACTGATGGGTCCAAAACATTATACCTCACGCAACTTGTTGCGAGGGGTATAATAAACGAGTTTGATTCTGTGGTACAATGATAATGAAAATAGAATTTAATGTGAATTAAATTTTTAGACATAAATAATTAATGATTACTAGAAAAAGCAGATAAAAAGAGAGAGGACCCCCCCCCCCCCCCCCCGGTGAGGATTTCCGCATTCTTCCTACAATTACCTTTATAAAAATTCCATTGTCTGTTGTCCAGGTTCAGCATATAAGTGTCGGAACCGGCCCGAGGGTGGCTTTTTTACAAATATATACTTAGTATAGACATTGAATATTGCTGCGCACGTTTAGCCCCCCCCCCACCGCTTTTCACAGACAAGTCGCAGTATAGGTTAAAAAAGAGGAAAGTGTTGGTGTTTGGAGAAACATTTGGTTACTGAAGTTTGAACCCACCCCCCCCCTTTCCCCCACACGAAATAGGATATTCGTGTTTAGGAAAAGGACATTTCCCCCCTTTTTTTAAGCTTGTCAGATTTTTTGAATGTATAAAAAAATTTCTTTGCACTTAGCCCCCCCCTTTCAATTTGCTTCCGACGCCAATGCGTTTGAGAAGGTATTTGAGAAAGTTCCCGATGTACCCATTCCTGTGATGTATATTTCACGTTTATTATATCTCCCGCTTGAAAAGTGGGAGGATATATAGTAATAGTTATGTCCGTCCGTCGGTCTGTTACGCTTTGGAGTACCCATCTCTTATCCGCAAATCCTCTTATACCACTTAGTGAAATTAAATAAAACTTTCACAGAATCTTATAGGTTTATTACATATTACCATTGTGCACCTCCTATTTTACTTTTTGATCCGACACGTATTTTGGGTTTAGCGACAACAGCAAAATATGGACTTTGCCATTATAACCATATGGGAGGCGGGGGTATCATTTAGTGAGCTCATTGCTTACAATACTTCTAGTTTCTCTTTCAATTTGGCCGTTTGGGTTAACTTTTCGTCCAAATTAAAATTATTATTCAATTTATGAAGTGTCGACATCCCGCCTGAAAAAAAAACCCTTGATCTGTCCTAAGACTTAATAAATGGACAGCACAAAGTGCGTAGGATCTTATACCTATTATTGCCCTAAGGGATGGTTACAGAGTGAGAGAGAGAGGGAGAGAAAGAGAGAGAAAGTTAGTTCAATATACAAAAGAGTAAATAAAAATTATCCGTATTCAACCAGTGTCAAGACTCCCTACCCTAGCTTTTAGAATTATCTCCCAAATACTCCTACAGAAATTATTTCTATATACAAATACAAATACAAATACAAATACAAATACTTTATTGGCACAAACACAATTACAATAATTGGCAAAGGCCCACTGAACAACATTAAATAATGTTTACATATTTTTTCAAGAATTGTCAAGTAATTGACTTCTAAGATCAAAACAGTCTCTGATAAATTTAACAGTAACTTTCAAGACTTTTTGTATATTACTGTTTATACATAATTGTTGTAGCATATATTTCTCATTGCTAAGATTAATATTTTTCTTTGTTATGTTATAAATATTACTAAAGAATGCGTTTCTTAGCTTAGAGTAAGAATTACAGTGAAAAAGAAAATGTATTTCATCCTCAATCACACCAGTATTACAAACATTACAATATCTTTCATTTCTTGATGTGGAAATATATCTACCACTTTCTATTGCAAGTTTATGTGCGCTTAGTCTAATTTTACTAAGAGAGGATCTCTCAGATCTTTTTTTGAGTAAATCAACATAAGGACTTCTTTTTCCTGAGTATACTTTCTTGAAGAGATCAAGTTTTTCTGAACCAAAGATTTTTGATGTTTGCTCTTGAGTGCACTGATCTATGATTCTTTGTTTAATGTTTGGTAAAAGGTGTTGGATGGAACCTGTATATTTTGTAATGTTAGAGAATCCAAGATTATCAAGAATAGAAAATAATTTCTTAGTCCAAGAATTACAGTTAATTGTGGATTGGTAAAGTTTAAAGGCCAAAGAATCAGAAGTTTTCAGGTGATTCTAATATTTGATACTTGAGAGGGAAATTTTGGACCAAAGTGGTAGTCTTTTAAGTTCTGCTAAACAACCAGCATTGGATGTTTTGCAGTGCACTCCAAGGATGTCTTTAATGAATTTTAAGTGAAAATTTTCAACATTTGAAATATCTTTGGATGAGAGATCCACTCCCCATATTTCACTACAATAGAGAAGAACTGGAAGTACAATAGCATCAAAGAGTTTTTCTAAAAGTTTACATGGGTTATCAAATCCAATAATATATGAAAAAAAAATAGCTAGACTATCACGCAGAGATACTGAAATCTCGGAAGTCTCTCTATAACACCATAATTATAAAACATTTATACATACCTCAAAATCATAATGCACATACTTTGTGGTCGGAGTGACACATTTTAAAAAAAAAATTAAAATTGAATTCGGCAGAGATGTCTGTCTTCCAAGAATATTTAGATAACGATCATGTCAATTATTTTTGCACGCCCCCCCCCCCCCCCCCGCCTAAAAAATCAAATGCCTAAATGTCAATCTGAATAGGGGATGGCATTTCTTCGTGTATTTGTGTGTTAAAGAACGTATAGATTTATGTACACATAAAAAATTGTATTCTGGTTAACTGCTTTTAAGATTTGAAGTAAATAATTACCGTACATCAAATTACTTGGTTTAGATTTGAGATTACTACTACAATAATCAGTTATAATTAACAAATGAATTTTGCGACGCAAACCAACTGCAGACTATATACATGACTTTGTATAGAATGTATATTAGAACTACATGTAGATAGACAATTCACAATTATAGCCTCTGAACAGCAGTTATAATACCCCCCCCCCTTCAGCCGCGCAAATACCAAATAACTTCTCTTTCCACTTGTGATATTTTCCCTGACCAAAATCTGATCAGCACGGACTAGGTGTATCGACGTGCTTGTCTGTACGGAGTAATGACAGTGTGTTTACTATTGAGCTTTTACGGAGTTTATTTCTTTTTTGTGATGCATATTTCAATAAATGGAATTCAGGGTGTATATCACTTGACTTGTGCACATCTTCGAACCGATGCAGTAACCTTATTACCAGGTATGGGTACGTTTACAGCGTTCGAGGCGTTTTCTCG